ATGTAGAGATTCCCCTAAGGGATGGGTTGGGACACATGGTTTAAAGGAACAAGCTTGCTGTGGCTATAGTAGGCATTTGTCATCCAGAGTTGGCTTTACTGGGTACGAACTCTGGCTACTTAGCGGGGAGAGCTTGATAGGTAGGTTGGGGCATGAAGCTGTTGGTGTCATGAAGCAGAGTGAGCTTTGCCTCTCTCAGCCTGTGGTGCTAGAGATGCTGATGAGGAAGTGAAGGAGTATGTGGGTCTTTACAGAAATTTCTGTAGATTTCAAGTATGTCATGCTTTTTAAAAACACAACAAGATAGGTACTTATTCTTGCCCCAGACCAAAGCAGCTACTAAACATTACTGCAGTATGGCTTTTAAATGGTACCTGCAGTGACCCACTCCTGTGCCCTAGCACCGTGACAGTAGCGACTGTCCTCTATTAAGCTGATATACCAGGCAGATGTGCCAGGACATAGTTAATTATGTTTTATCAGCCTTCCAATGTTATATGGTAGGTGTCTTTGCTCCCGTTTTTTATGTGAGGAGACTATGTGACCTGCTTTTCGTCCAGTTGGTTCTTTCTCTGACTCTAACCACTGGGTGACCGTCTCAACTCAGCCTTATTTCCTGTATGTAAAGATTGGGTGACATTTACATACCATGTTCTTATGGTGTTTTTCAAATTGTAGTTCTTGTCTCAAAAGTGCATTGTAAAATCAATATAGTAGATTTTTGAAAGAATGTAAAATATCAGCTGCATCCCAATTGTTTTGTGTGTGTACATGCTAGGTAGAGCTAGCAAAGTACTTAGAATGTATGTCATGCAAATACATTGCCTATTTTATTGTTAGGAAGTTTCAAACTACTATTCTAGAGGTATTATAAAAGCAAAATGTACATAAAACATTCTAGGACTTTTTGTAAAGCCTCCCTCATCCTGTAAGTCTGAGGTACCTTATTAGTTGACACTAGAGACTGGAGTGGGAAGGCAGAACATGCTTGTATGCTGTTACTACAACCTTATTACAACCCACTGCCACAGTATGTCCAGTAGAACTCGGCTCAGCTTTAAGTCTTTTCTCAATAGAGCACCCCAGGCCTCAAAGACAGGCACATTGCAATCCTGCTGTAGGCTTGCAGTCTGTGGTTGTAAAGAACACAGCACCTACAGAGCCCTGATTCTCATTTCAACTTAAGGAAAACAGATGTGATCCCTATGCAGTATCAGGGTCTTTATTAATAGGCCCTAAAGGGGTTGGCTGCTGTCTCACCCCTCTTGATGCTCTCCCTATTTCAACCACAGTCATTGTCTGGAAGAGATTTCCCCTTTCCCTCTCCTGAAGAGCATCCCATCCAGACTGTCTAGGCACTGCCCCATGAAACAAAGATGGCAGTAGACCCTCTAGCACGCCCATTCTCCTGAAACATGCTCTTCAATTATTGCTAACTGTAATCCAGTTGCATGGAAAATAGAGTGAATATCCCCAGCAACTTCCCTGATACATGTGCCTTAGGAGCACATTGACACTCAGTATCTGTAGTCCAACTGAGGGTCACGGAAGGAACAAAAGGTTCCTTCCCCACCAGCACAGGTGGAGCCCCTCCTCTGTACCCTTGAAGGCAAGCTTGCAGAAAGGCAGCTGTGCTTGCAGTGTTTATGGAAGGCAGAGCAGCTCATGCGGACACAAGGGCTGAAAGACATCCGACAAGAAGCATCTCTGTGTGGATTTTAAGACAAGACTCAACACAGCATTCTGAACGGTGTGAGGAAGAGCCCAGGCAATACAATTAAGAGAACAGAAGGCAGGCTCAGTGTTTTATGGATCTCGTTAATGAATGAGTCCCGTGACTTCTGCTGGACTGGCTTCTCAGCGCCCTGCCAGCCTGTTTCCCACACACCTGTAAATCCGTCAAGCTCTAATTCATGGCTGGTACCAGCAGAGACTGAGGTGTAGGCCTTTCTCATTGGAATACACAGAGCTCTCAAGTCATTAATAATTCACTCTGGAGTAATGAACAAAGCCTTACCGAGTTGTGAGCTGAAATAATCAAGTGACAGATCAATTTATTACTGCAGCGCCCAGATATAATGGTAGCAACGAGAAGGTACAAGCCTGTCACTGAAAAGTTTCTCAAGACTTAGATCAATGTGTTTTAAGTTCCAGAATAAAATGGTCATTAAATGGGAAATGAATTTGTTGGGTAGCCTCAAGCCTATTTATATGCAGAGTTGCCAACTCAGAATTACTATACTGTTTTTCCAGATTCCTTTGGGCCTCAGGGCCTGCAAATCAGAGTAATTATTACTTATTAATTAAATATAAGAAGTGGAACACAGCTTGAAACTTTGAAAAGGGAGGTTGGAGTAGTTCAGATACAATTATCCCCATATTTGTGATAATAACTAGAAAGTTTTCAGTTAGGCTGAAAAATATTAGTCTTATATTTACCAAGAAGCTTCCATCATGCTTTAAGTTTCACTGATTGTGATCCTGTTGTCACTGGCTCTATAAAACACATTACTTAGTCTCTGTGTTCAGTCTAGTGGTGGAAACATCAACACTCAGTGAGAACCTCACAGGCAGGCCAACTTGTCTGAGTCTGGGATGGAGGACTACGAAGAGCGGAGGGCAGGGGCAGAAAGCAAGGGGATGGTATGAGCTCAGCCTTACAGAGAAGGTTTGTCAAGTACAGAAATAATAAGAACATTCCAGGCCAAGGGATGACATGAACAAGAGCAGAAAGGTGGGAGCAGAGAAGGACTGGCAGTATCCTCATCAGCACACTTCCCGTATGTGATCACACTCAACCTGCACCACGTGCCATGAAGTAGATGTGCTGTCCACCCTTACTGCTCCTTTTAAAAAGAGGAGGGACCCAATACCCATATCTTTGATGAAGTAAGTTACTTGTCCAGTGAGCCACAGCTGGAAAGTAGCAGAAACTTATAAATGAGTTGGGGGAAGGTATGGTTCTTATATGAGTGTTCACCTTTGGGTATAGCCCCAAAGAGCACTTGCTTAGTGTATCCAAGGCCTTGTATTAGTGTATCCTTGGCCTTGCTTAGTGTATCCTCAGCCCCAGAAAGCCAAGCAAAATAAAAGGAACCAATCATTAGCTTTCATTGTCAGAGCAGTTAAAAACAGAAGAATTGCTAAGCACTTTAGAGATGTAACTTTGCTCTCTCCAAGACCAGCAGAGAGGTAGTAATGACCTTCTCAACAAAGGAGGGCCATAGGAGTAGACTTCATCACCTTAACTGATGGTAGCTATCAGGGAAGGCTGAGCACAGGAGGGCTGATGAGGAATCTTTTTCTTTAGTTAGTGAGAGAGCAGAAAGGCCTGATTATAGAAAAAGATCACAATCCAAACTGAATGTTTTTATATTGGTTGCAATTTGAAAATGTTTTCAGATACAAGTAGCTAGTTCATTTTCCCAAGGGACTTTCATGCAAACAGGGATAAGTCCAGTAATTCATCTAGGAAGTGTGTCAGCCCTGAATTCCTTTCTCGCTCATGATCTGGTGGGGAAAGTGAGGATGGAGAAGCAGTTTGAGAGTGTGCAAGCTTAGCTGATGGGCCCAGGTGCTGGCCAAAGGCTGTCTTCTTTGCTGTGACCCTGTTTGACCATCTCATCAACTCCTTCACATGGACAATGTGATGTAGTTCTGGGCATAATGGAAAAACATGAGTAAGCCAAGAGGACTAAGGCAGAGCTAGCAAAGTACTAGAATGTCCTGTATGGGCCAGAAACAGGATAGGCTTCTGTGGCAACTCTCCCTGCTGTGAGTGTTGGCTGCAGGCAATAAGCAAATCTCCTTACCCCTTGTTGCTCTGAGCTACAGTTCAAGTGCGCAGACAAGGAAGTCAACTTGCAGTCTCAACCTCAAAAACTCGAGGAAAAGTGTAAATCAGATGACAAAAGTGGTTGAAGTAGAATTTCAGAAAAGACTCGGTTTAAAGACAAATATTTAAGGTTGGTGAGTCTCTTCTACATAATGGAAGTCACAGGAGAAACAGTGTAGATATGGATGGGGTTATATGAAAGATACTAAGTGTGAAAAGCACTTAACGCTGGGGAGGTCAGTGAAAACTGTCTCTGCCCAGATTTCCCTCTAGAGGCCGGTTAGTAATGAAGAGCTTCCTTCTTCCAACAGGTGGGTGATTAAGGAAGCTTCTAGTATATTCTAGCAGTGCTGAGTGGAATGAACTTGTTTATTGCTAGTAAATCATTCCTAAGTTTTTATTCAGGGAACTGCCTATGAACCATGGTGTTTTATAGCTTAAGCATGGAGTTCATATTTTGAATAGTTGTTTACCTATAAAATATGCATGTGTAGTTAGCAGATTACTCTGACTTAGCCATTACTGACCTCACATCTTCTTTAAAATTTGAGTGTAAGTGCAGTGCAAACACATGGATATACAGTAGTGCATTTTTTATTTCTGTTGATGCCACATGTTTCACTTAATCTGAGCCACATGTTTAATCAAATGCACTTTTAATACGTGGTGTTTAGAGTACTGAATTTTCTGATGTGGCTTAAACGCAAGCTCTATCCTTTTGAAAAACAGTGTCTGTTTTGTGCTTATGTTTGCAAATGAATTAAAACCAGAAGCTTCTTGATTTGCATTGTAGACAATGCAGACGAAAACCCTCAGTGGTTTAAGCAGCAGGCAGGTACAGAAGTTATAACCAAGAGGGACAGGCAGTTTCCTGGACTTAGAGAATAGTGACTCAGTGGGCACAAACTCATCATCTGGCAGATGGCCTTGACTAGTTGGCTGGCTGGCTGGTGGTTTTAGGCAAAATATAAATGATATCCTGAAGGGAATACTGAGTGCAGATCTGTGAACTCTGTAGTTGAAGATACAAAAGAAAAGTTGCTCTTTGATTCATGGCATCCAAGGATGTCTCAAGTGTTGCCTCCTAGACATGTAGGCAGGAAGGTCAGAAGTACCCATAGAGGTCAGCACAACTTCTTTCACTCCTTCTTTCCCCCTTTTCCAGTGTTGCTAGCAATCACAAGCAGAATTTGATGACGGTGGCAAACCTTGGTGTGGTGTTTGGGCCTACACTGCTGCGACCTCAGGAAGAAACAGTGGCAGCCATCATGGACATCAAGTTCCAGAACATTGTCATCGAGATCTTAATAGAGAACCATGAAAAGGTAACGTATAAGTGGGCCCTTACAGGAAAGAATTGAGTTGTTTGGCTGTGGGTCTCTGCATTTGTTTCCATCAGCTGCTGGATGAAGCCTCTGAGAAGACATGAAAGCGTCTTCTCTGCAAGCATAGCACAGTATCATTAATAGTGACAGGGTTTAGCTCTCTCCCATAGAATGGGTCCCAAGTTGGGCTAGTCATTGGCTTGCCATTCCCACAATCTCTGTTTCATCTTTATTCCTACACTTCTTGTAGGCAAAATAAATTTTGGGTCGAAGTTTATGGATGGGTTGATGTCACCCTCCCTCCACTGGAAGTTCCCCTTGGCTACAGGAGGTGGTGACTTATAGGCTCCTTAACCTGTACTGCTAGGAATATTAGCTAGAGTCACCCCTGGGAGCTTCTCTTGTCCCAGAGATGCCCCTACATTGATTTCCATTCTCTCTCCCAGTCCCAAGCCCACCTTGGTAACCCTCCCCACCCTTTCTCACATCCAGTTCACTCCCTTCTTATACTTCAGTTGTCTATTTTTATTTCCTCTTCTGAGTGAAATTCAAGCATCCTCCCTTGGGCCCTCCTTGGCTTCTTTGGGTCTGTGGAATGTAGCATGGTTATCCTGTACTTTATGGCTAATATCCACTTATAAATGAGTACTTACATACCATGTGTGTCTTTCTGGGTCTCCGTTAACTCACTCAGTATGATCTTTTCTAGTTCCATTTAATTTGCCTGCAAACTGCATGATGTCTTTGTTCTTAATAGCCAAGTAATATTCCATTGTGTAATAGGCCAAACTCGAGTCTTGTGGATGAGTGGGAGGAAGGATAGAGGGAGCTGGAGGGGTCAAGGACACCACAAGAGGAGCTACAGAGTAAACTAATCTGAGCCAGTGGGGGTTCAGAGAGACTGAACCAACAACCAAAGAGCATGCACAGGCTTTGGGTCCGCTAACTATGGCAGTAGAGGCCTCTGACTCTGTTGCCTGCTTTTGGATTCCTTTGCCCTAGCTAGGCTATCTTATCAGGCCTCAGTGGGAAAGGATATTTTTATTTTTCCTGCGATTTGAGATAACAAAGTTGGTTGGTACCTCTTGGGAGCCTCCCCCTCTCTAAAAAGAAGGAAAGGGGGAATTGGGGGGAGAGAGCATAAGGGAGGAACTGGAAGGAGAGTTGGGGGAGGCTGGGATTAAATAAAGAAGGAAAGGAAAAAGGAAGAATTGGGTTGTTTAGCTGTGTGGGGCTGCTCTGGAACCTTCAGAATTGCTTAGGTTTGCATTGCTAATGGTTCTTGAACCATGGTGATAGGGACACTGCAGATTGTCATTGTCATGGTGGTAATAAATATGAGAGTACTGTTAGAGGTTACAGCCTCTAGGAAAAAGCCCCAGCTCCTTCTTCATGCTCTCTTAAAAACCCCTCCCACTGAATCCTCCTCCTTTCTACATCCTGTGCATCTCTCTATCTGTCCACTGTACTTTCTCTCACTGTCTATGTTGTTTTTTTTTTTTTTACGTTCACTTCCTGTCAACTGGTTGCTTGCTCTGCCTCTTGATCTATGGTTGACTTTATTTAATCCTGTTTACAGAAAGCTCTTGGAGTAAAGGTGTGTACTAGGGTTGAACCACACCACAACTAGAAACAGGTCTTTCCAGTGCATGATCTCTGGGTTCACAGTGTGATCAAATAGCAAGAAATCCCCACCCCATCCTCCCGGTCCATTCATCATAAAAGACTTTAACACAGTTTGAGGCCTGAGAAATGTCATTGCTCTTAGCAGCAAACCCTTGCAAAGCCTCTCAGAACCTACGCAGCTTTCCCCAGGTGAGTATTTGATAGACATAACTCTGGAATCTGATTTAAAATAATAATAATAATAATAATAATAATAATAATAACATGTTTCTCTTCCTAAATAAAACCTTTACCTAGAATGAGGAAAGCATGCCTGACAAATGTAGATTCTGACCACTGCTTACACACAACAATATTATAAATAACAATAATATAAGCCACCTGTCACCTCGGATCTCAATTTTGACAAGCACTCCCTAATTTGCTTCCTTGCTTCCACTTTGGCCTATTTATTCTGATATCATCCACCAGAATGAGACTTCTGGCCAAGTTAGCTCACAACAGTTGTGTGCTGCCAAGCTATTCAGTGAGTCCCCTCGTCGCTAGGTTTGAAGGTCATTCTTGATAGGAGCCTGTGAGTTCCACTGAGTCATTATATTCTCTCTTTTATATCTCCTGTCTTGACTTAGACTGTCCTGTGGTTCTTTGGACATATCAGATACTTTTGGATTCTTTTGAATCCTTTGCAATTGCTGTTCCCATCACCTGGATGGAACACCCTTCTTCCTCAAAATCCACATGGTGATTTCTTCAACATCTTCAAGTGTTCTAAGTAGGACCAGACCTCTGTACTTAAAATGTTATAGTCCCAACCCCTCAGCATTCCCTTTTTCTTTTACCTTGCCTTTTTCTTTCTGTAGCCTTAGATATTCCACTCTAGTAATATAAAATGTGCTAATGCAGTCTACACATGTTCCAAACAGTACCTGTGAGGTTAGAAACGTCCTTCTTCCTGAGCTGTTTTTTTTTTTTTTTTTTTTTTTTTTTACTGAGAACCCTTCTGCATCCTTCACAGTAGTCTTAGTGATACACCTTCAGACTGGCTAGGGAAAGCATATGAGCCACACACTTCGTGTTTCTCAGCAGTCTAGAGTCATTGTTCCAGCTGATCTGGGAGGAGGCCAGTATTCTGCAACGTTGTTAGGAAGCAAATGTCTTTGAGTAAGAAGAGGTAGAGCAGAAAAATCCAGAAGATACAGTAATATCTGAAGATTGTTGTTTTTTTCTAGTCCATGTAGGTAATGTGTACTGATTTTTAAAATTCTATTGTATTGATGAATATTTTTAATAAACAATGTCCAGAAATGTAATTTTATGAAAATAACTCACTTTCACTACAATTTATTCAGAAGATACTGTACTAAGCAACTTTATAGCTACCATCTCACTTAATTTTCCTAACAGTATTAAAAAAAAATTCAACATCTTTCTCCATCAAGAAAATGAACATTAAGATTGGTTTGAGATTATGTTTCCCCAAGCCTAGATGACTGTCATCAAGAACACAAATGACATAAAATGCTGTCGAGGATGTGGAGGAAGAAACACTATTACACACTGTTGATAGACATGCACACTGGTGCAGCCAGTTTGGAAATCAATAGGTAGTCTGCTCAAATGCCTAAAATAACTGTAATTTCCACCAGGGATTGTATACCTGGAACTCCACTTGCATTAGAAAAGAACATAATTGAAAGTATTTGAGTTAAAAGCCAAAGCATGTTTGGCTCTCACCATGCTTACTTTACAGTAATGGTCATTTCTTTAAAGTTTTCAGTTCTGTATGAGTAGAATCTCCCCACTAAATCACAGTGCAATTACTTTAAGGCTTAAACTATCAAGTAGACAAAAACTTAGGATTATGGTAGAAATAATATTCATGTTTCTAGATAGGAATAAAAAAACAAAATACTATTGCTAGCATCTAATGTTACCCCAAGTTCCAGAAATTTAACAATTTCTTACGAAGTTTTTCTTCTAGTCCCTTTGGTTACTATGCTTTTGACATTTAAATTTTAGATGTCCAGGAAGAACAACCTTGCCAAGAAAACAAACTGCCTTCTTTCTTACTGTGCTTTCCCTGAAACCTGAAGCTTCAGGCTGGTTGTGTTTGTTGCACTGCGCTGTTAAGTTCCAGCATAGAACTGGAGCATCGATGCCTTGGGTCCTGTGACAGCTTATGGCATTTCTTTTGGCTGTGGCTCTGGAGGTTTCTGGGGGAACAGCAGGATGTCTCTGTGTAGATCTACCTGTGTGTGGTATGCTGTGGCATCTTCAGCCCCAAGACCTATTAGTATCTGTAAAATGTGGGATTCCCTTGGAGTCTATCACTGCGCTCTGGGGGAGATTAGAGAGTAGATTGTTAAACTGTTGACTGTCAGAAATGCATCCTTTTTACTACATGTGCCAAAGAGATGAGCTAGCAGCCATCGATGAACTTACTGAATACCTGAGGTAAGAGCCCAGTTCTGTACAGCCTAGCGTCCCCAGTGAAATAATACTGACCCTCCGAGGTGCAGTTAGAGTTGATTTGGGCCTACTAAATTGCTTTCATTTGCCCTCATAAAAATGTTGATGGCACCAAATTCATTGCTCTTTTGTTTGACTTCATACACATTTTATATTAATTACTATGCATTGATTAGTGTGCAGCTGGCATGTGTTTGCCACTTGCCTTTGCCTTTCATTTTCTTAATATCTGACATTGTTGATATGCAAAATTAACACTAAGAATGGTAATATGTGCCCAGCTTCACTGGAACATCCTGCTGTTGTTTGTTTGTTTTGTTGTTGTTACTGTTCTTTGGGGGTTGTTTTTTTCTTTTCTGTTTTGTTTGTTTGCTTGCTTGTCTGTTGATCCTGTCTTTGTACCCCTGAGGAAGTGATCCAAGTGACTTGTACATTGGAACTCACTGCTTCTTCTCTGCCCTAGAATATTTTCCTTCTCAATGGCAAGCTTTATGTAGGACACTCTGTTAAGGTAGTGGGTTTGTTAATCTGAGTACGTAGTTACCCCTATTTAACTCCAGGTAGACTAACAGTCATTAATATTGGGAAAGCTCCTTTAATATCCCTGAAATGGGGCTGTAGTTTGATGTTGCATTTTATATAATTCCTCTCTACTAACAGAGGTGACAAGAAATATGCTTTCTGGAAATACATTTTAAAAAAAAAATCACAGCACCTCCCCCCCTACCCCAACACACACCCAAAGTTACTAGAGATTCTGGCTCCTTTAGAGAGATTTTAAATAAAATTCCCCAAACTACTTTCCAAATTGTTGATGTCTTCACCCACCCCCTAAGTGCTAATAGCAACAGGGTTTAAGATTTCCAACTTTCCTTAAAAAACCTTTCCATGGCTACAGCCTCTGA